TGAAGATGTACTCAGAGTTTTGTATTCCACTAATCAGATTATCATGATGGAACATTCCCCAACCAAGCTGTTTTTTCCATCCTTTATTCCTCTAAGTTCAAAGACACTGAGCATTCCAAAACCCTGATTGTTCCTCTCTGTTTAGCAGAACAGACTTTTTCTTCCAGATACTCCAGTTCACCCCATCCTTTCTTTCCTTTTCACTTCTGTTCTCTTCTCTTCTCTTCTGTTCTCTTCTGTTCTCTTCTCTTCTCTTCTCTTCTCTTCTCTTCTCTTCTCTTCTCTTCTCTTCTCTTCTCTTCTTAGCTAGAGTGAAGTCATTTGTGGAGCTGTCACCTCTGCAGACATGCAGAAGAGTAGGCGAAGGGGCGCCAAGCCCTCATGGCTTTGACTTCTGATTTGTACAGTCTATAAAGTGAGCTGTATAAAATACCCAACACTTAGGAAAAGGAAACTGAAAGGGTTGTTAACATACAGGTATAAACTATAAAGCCCCCTCTTTTTTTAAAATGCAGCTCATTTTATTAGTAAAGGTAAGAATGATTTGACATGACGGGAAACTTCCGACTTTTTTCTTAACTGAAGTGTAGGCACTTCCTTCCAGGTTAGTGATTTCGCCAGAATATTTCTCGGCCCACCATGACTGTGCTGATTCAAATATTGGAAGTTTTAGAAGCAGTGTGAGAGTGGGGAGGGGGCTGTCCAGTTGTTGATTGTCCAGTGAGACCTGAAGAGGTTGTGATCTTGTATCTGGGTGAGTAGACCTGGATCAGATAGACTCACCAGGTTTCTTGGGGAGGGAGTTTCTTCTGAACCATTTTGAGGATTTTCCTAAACTCCCGGAATCAGAAGGACATTTCTTAAGTGGTGTGAGGGGATGGTGATAGCCAGTGAGGGGAGATGGAATTTTAATCATGTTTCCAGTTTTAAGGCAGAGGCAAGGAAGATGGATGCCATTCTGTTAGCCCCTCTTTATGATCCCCTGGTGTTTGACAGTTTGAAATCCAAAAGGAAATCAACTGAGGTATGGAGAGCTCCACACGTTGTGCTAATGAACGTTCTTCATTCAAAAACGTATAACAGTTTTGGAAGGTGTTGTCTGAAAATTCTCTGTAGTCTGTTATTGTAAAAATGAAGCAGCCACCAAGCTTGTCTATTTTTTCCTTTGCACCGAATTAACTCTCTGTAAATAAAAGAACCCAGATGGGGCTCTACCCAGGGGGCCTTGGTGCAGGGCTCATCTATGCTTATGTATCTTGCCCTGTTTGTTCCTGGTGGACCCCACAGGGCAATTATGGAGAGGAAATGAATTTATGTATGCCAGGAAGTGTTGCGCAAACTAGGACATTAGTTTTTATCTTTGTTTTTCTCCTTCTCCCCATCTCTAGATGATAAACACAGCCTGTCTTCTAACACAGGATTTTCACTCCAGAATTTGGTATTCCTCTCTCAAAATGAGATGCCTCCCTGATGGCCTAGGGCCACCAAGTGGATCAAGAAGCTCTTTGACCCCGGGAATCAGGCCTTCAAGCTTTCTCTGGCCATTTAAACCTCACACTAGTTCCCTTCAAGTCTTGGGGTGTTGAGGAGTGGATCTGAGTTGGTTCCAAATCACCCCTTCCGTAGGGACTGGGGTAACAGTTGGGTTCTGGCCCATGGTAATTTCACTTCCCTTCCTCCTTGTTGACAACCATCACAGAGTCCTGACCCCCGTCTGCAGGGACTTGAGTCCCTGGATTCCTGGAAACGACTTGACCATCTTTCAGTGGATACAGCAGATGGAAGCCAATTTCACAGGAAGCCTAAGAGCAGACCAAATCCCAGCCAGAATCCCAAGAGTTCAGTGGGAGGCAGACAGTAGGTAGAACAGTGATGAGTTTAAGAGTTCCCACACCTGACCCTCATCCTAGTCTCACCATTAACTGGTTGTGTGATCTTTATTATTTATTTGTCATGCCTGAACCTCAGTTTCTCGTTTTGTAAAATGAGAATAATAATATGTACCTCACAGCGTTTTGTAGAAAATAAAGAAGATGAAGTATAGGAAAACATACTATAAGCTTTAGTAACATAGTTAATTTTCTACTCTCTTGATTTGGAAATTCTTTTATCCTTGGTACATTCTTTAGCGCCAGGCACCTTAGAAGGTTCTCAGTAAATCTTTTTGGGGTTAGGGAGTTGTTTGGGCCACCCCACCCTAATGGTTTAGATTCTGAACTTTTACAGGGAGTTGTTGTTGTTATTATTGGGAGAAAAAATAGATTTCACATAAAGGGATGAAAAATGTAAGCTCTTTTTTTTTTTTAGTTTCCTTCCTTCCACCAATGGCTTTTTTTATTAAGATTTTCATCTCTTGATTGTAAAAGCAGTCCTTGGCTTATTGCTAGGTTTTGGGGGGCAGGGGAGGAACATGAAAAAGAAGCAGGATGTTTTCTCTTCTGCAGAGCTGTTTACAAGTTTTTAGCAGTGGGAGTAGCACACCATGCTCACCTAGGGAGTCTGGCTCTGTGGCCCTGACTTGCCCCCTTGAATACAGGGCTAATTGATTTATTTGGAGAGTGACTTGAGACTTCCACTCTTTAGAATGGAGATGCTACATTCCAGTCCCATGTATAGTAAAAGCTACTGTTATTGCTTCGATAAACAAACAGGTTGCTTTATGTAGTTCTCCTTGCCAGATAATAATGGCAGCATCAGCAGCATGACAGCTGGCATTAATTGAGCAATTACTAGATACTAGCTACTATTCTAAGTGCTTTTTGAGTGCTAGCCCTACTGCACACAGCTACCATATACGATAAGAAAGTAAGTATGTATTGTCATTTTCCCATCTTAAAGGTGAGAAAAGCCAGCACAGAGAGGTTAGGTGACTTGCCCATGAGCACACACCTGGTTAAGATAACGACTAAGAATCAGGGGATTTGGATGAATGAATGAATTACTGCGCCCTTCACAGTGTCTGGCACAAGGCAGGAACTTAACAAATGGCAATTTTTTTGTAATATCGGTCTGGAATTGGACTGGAGAAGTGGGGTGTCTTGTGAGATAGGAAGTGTGTTCGTAGTAGCACATATCACTAGCGATCTTAAAGAAAAATATGGCAGCTCATTTGGAACTAACCTCAGAATTTAGCTTGAGAGCTTTACCATTGTCTGTGAGTTAATTAGGTAATTTATTCATCTTCTCATAGTTCCATGTGTAGTACAGTGGGTTAGGGTATGGCCTGTGGAGGAAAACCGCACGGGTTCAAACCCTGCCTCTGCCTGATACCTTATCTCCAGGGTTATTGTGATAACTAAATGAGTTTACACATAGGAAGAGCTTAAAGCAGCTCCCAGCACATGGTAAGCATTCAAACAATGTAAATGTACTATTACTGTTGGTATTTATTATTATCTTCCTAATTAATTCCTTCCCTTATTCCTCAGAGAATTTAAGTTCATTAAAATAGCACAAGGTTAAAACAAAATTAAAAACCAAACAGAGACTCAGGACCAGGAGGTAAATATATAGAAGATGAAAGCTTAGGTCTCATAGAAAAAGACGGAAAGACATGCATAGTTGCAAAAGAAGCTCTTCAGCCAGGCA